CTTTGTTAAGGGCAGTTAAGCTAGGCTGGAAAGAAGAATAGAAGCTTAACGTATTTTCTGATGCCTTCTGAATCGTTAGGCTCGTTGAAAGAAAGACATTTCTTTGAGGAAGTACTCAACGTGCTTCCCTGAGCTGGCTCTATAGGTTGGGGGTTTTCATAGTCGTGTTAACATCTCTGGGGCTCTGAATGTCACTTTTCTGACTCACCTGGCTCAGGCTGCTGGGCACACAGTCCAGAGTCCACATTGCGGAAGGGCAATGGCTGAGATCATTGTTTCCACAGGGCATGGCCTTTAAAGGTTAAATGGGTGGGGAGGCAGGACAGACTCTGGGGCTCAGGAATACGTGGCTTGCTAAATTTAGGTTGCATTCTACCCCAGTAGAATACTCGAGTTCCAGAGATTGTTCTGGAGTGTTTCGTGGCCCTAAGGACAGATCACGCGACACCCTCACTGTCGTCTCTGTGCAGGTGCCTGTGAGCTCCGAGGTAATGCCGGAACTTGCTAACTGTCCATCACAAGTGTTATTTGTATGATTGTTTTATGCCTTTCAAGGCACAGCACACAAAAACCTGTGCCGTGACAGAAGCTTAGTCCACTCAGGCTCCTCATGTGTCAAGGACGGGCACAGCAGATGGTCTTTAAGGCTCTCCCAGGCTCTGACCAGCTTTCTTTAAGACAACTCTAAGCTTCCTTGAATAGGAAATCTCAGAGGAAAGATTACCCTGGCCCAGCACTCTTGACCAAACTGACACCAGACAGATGACAGTTTACATGTATGTGAGACTCTCATTTGGGGGTGGAGGAAGCTAAGCTGAGACACAGCACATGCCTCAAAGTGCATATTTTAACCTTTAAGAAAAAACAAGTTCCACCCAGGGAAGCTTTCTTTTCATTTCTTTGTGTTAGTGCAGAAAACAATCAGCTACAACACTTACAAGCATCTGCATTGGAACGTTTTATTCCAGAGACTTGAAGGGCTAATGGTTATAAGATTTTAATTGTGTGATTTCCTAAGTTCTCAGGTGTGTCTTGAAAGTTCTTACCTGTCCGTTTGTCTGTCATCCTCAGCTCTCTATCCTGCACGAGAGCTTGGCATCTGTGAGTGCTCTAGTGAGTATTTATTTATAATTCAGCCGTCATCTTTTTAGAATTTATGCCAGCTCATGTTGTTCTAAGCCTGTATTGATTAATCCTCATAATAACTTCATGATTTACCTTTGTCCTTACTTTACAGGTGAAGAAATGCAGACTTTTTGAAAGGCTAAGTACTTTGCCTAAAGTTATATAAATGAGGAAAAACAGAATTCAGACTAAAGTGTGTTTGACTCAAGAAGTTGTGTTCTTAATCACTGTGCTATACTGTTTCCCTTCCTTGTGTTGGAAAAATGAATGATATGTGCTCATTCACAATGGGGACAGTGTAGTGTTAGCAGATCTGTGCTTGAAGACTTTCTCTGAGGTGGAAAGGAAGGGGCTTGGGATGGGGACTCTCTTAACCAGCTTCACCAGCGAAACAGATAAATACAACTCACTGTCATTCACAGACATTTAAAAATACATGCTCAAAAAGCAGCAAGTCACACTTTAGAAGAGCATAGTCAAGCAAAATGACATATATTCAACTCATTATAATGGTTGGGGAAGTAGGGCTGAAAGACAAGAAATAAACACATTAGACAAGAGAAGGGAGCTTATTAAATGCCCAATGATGATAATTGGCATGAATTAAGAAATAGAATGAGTGCAACCCTTTGCACCTGAGCATCTCCCCTTCTCCCTGAAAAAGAATAAGAGCCTGGGCAAGGGAAGAGTAGACTAAGTTAAGACAAGAATTGGGATGTCAAAGATGACGTGAGTGAGTGCTTCCTCATGTTCAGAAATCATTTTGCGGTCCTAGATTGGAGGGACTTCAGTGTAAACATCAGCTACCCATAAGCATTAGGTTAGCTCCTTCAGGCACTTCGTTTTTGCCAGAGGATAGATTTGAGATGCTGTTGTTCATACACTAAAGGAGAAACGGTCTCAGAATGTGTAAGCTGGGAAGGACAGAGTTATTTTACAGACAAGGAAACCAAAGTTTGGAGTGTTTGAAGGACGAATCCAAGATGGCACTTCTGGTTTGGAACAAATCCCCAGTGACAGCCCAGTTCTCTTCCCACTTATCCATGCAGCTTCTGTGGGCTTCTCAGCCCCAGTGGTCTCCGGACAGCCCCACACGGTGATGCTTCTGGTGTGGGACTAGGGATGGATTCATTTGATAATTTTTTTCCCCCTTCATGACCTTGACTCGGAAGAGACTTGAGTTTGGAAAGCACTCTGTAGATGCTGATGGCAGTGACGGTCAATATTAAGGAAGGCGTTCTTCCATCGTTCACACACTTTGGTAAGGGAAGAGCTTTATACTACTTGTTTTGGATTGTGGTAGTTTTTCATTTTATTCTAGTGTTAGATCTTCTTTTAACTAGCTGTACGATTGTGAGCCTGTCACTCTTATGTTGGCATTCTTGGTTTGGTCAAAGTTGGGGGAGGGGATTTTATATTCTCCAAATAGCCTTCTAGTGAAGGGTTCTAAGGTCATGGCTCTTCTGGGACTCCGGGGCTAACACTCTTCACCAAGGCAGGCATGGGAACGCATATACTCACCAAATGTGCTCCGTGTAGCTCTTCTGCATTTCAGCTGCTCAGTCTTGCAGGATCCCTGTGGCATTTCCCCCATAAATGTACAGTGAGATGCTCACCAAGAGCCACGTAGGGACAGGCAGTCCTTACCTCCCACACACTACCGTCTTACTGGGAAAAGAATAACAACAGGCAGATAGAAGTACACTAAGTGCTAATCCAGGACTGGCAGTGCGAGTGCCATGGTTGCTTATAATACATCAGATCTGACTGTGAGAGGCTGGGGAAAGCTTCCCAGAGGAAGAGAGATTTATGCTGGATTTTGAAGGGATGTAGGGTTCTGACAGCAAAGACAATACGGCGCAACAATATAAGTGAAAGTCACAAACAGACCAGAGACACAGTCCAGGGGGCCCAAGGCTTGCTGGGGCATCTGCAAGGAGCTAACTAGAGTGGAAGATGATGGTGTTGAGATCTCAGTTTCCAGATGAGTGTAGACTAGGGAGGTGACCAGCTGAATGCGTTATTCATAGCAGATTTTGGTCAGTGAGCATTTGAGTGTGTATCTAAGATTGAAAGTGTGAGAGTGGGACTAACAAGAGTCTTTTGGAGTGGACCCTAAAGCAGAGTATGGTTGTGGCAGGGGAATCCTTATAAACTGGGCGCTGCCTGGGGAAAGAGGGTATGTATTTGTAGCTCCCTGATCATTTGAATGTAGGCCTAACCTCACCAGGAGTTACAACAAAGACAGGAAGGGACATGCAGCCTACTAACAGACAACACAAAACTATTCGTGAAAAAACAGATGAATATTTGAGAATTATGAGATGAGTGGAGATTGTTGCAAGTCAGTACAATTTGAAGTGGCACCCTAAAATCCGACGTTTGTTAACAAGAAATAGTGACTCTATGAGAAGATAATGCTGCCAAGGGCTTTTTCTGCCCACATTGAAAATGCATGTGTAATATCTGAACAATTATGTTTTGCACTGAATAAGCTTGTGAGTCAATACATACATGAATCATTATCTTTTCAGACACAGTTTACATTGCGTGTCCACCTGGAACTTAGAATAATTCCCTCTATATGGTTATTTATATCTATAGCTATAGATATGGGTAGGGATATAGACATAGGTGTGGACAGGAATGGGAATGGATATGAATATACTTATGTCGATATATACAGATACATATACAAGTAGGTAGGTAGACTGACTGACGTAATTGGATACGGGACTGGGAAGTTAGGATGGGAATAAATTGTAGGGGACTTTGCGTGCCTGGCTAAGAAATTGGGGCTTGCTGTTTGGACAACAGAAAGCCACTGCTATGGTATTTGGATGAGGATTTTATTTGTTCAGCTCCTGTCTGCTTTTTGGAAGCTGAGGATGAGTTAGTAACCATAAAACAGGAAGAGGGAGGTTGGTGAGAGCGTCCGGCGAGGCCACGTGGACCTGTCCTCGTGGCAGCCACCAGCCTTGCTTCAGGCAGTGGGGAGGCCGTGCTGGCACAGAAGCAAGCTTTGGGCTTTCTTCCTTGGCCTCATGGGGCCTCCCTTCTGCAAGAATAAAAATCAGGTCCAAGTTGATGTGGCAAGCAGCGTGCCTACTAATAACTGGCATTTGTATGACACTAGATAGAGGCAGGATGGTTGGACTCAACAGAATTCACAAATAATTGCCCATCTCTATAATTGCCTTTTATTGAGCAAGTAGCTACTTTTTATTTCTACAGAAGGGAAATGGTAGGAGATAAGCAAAATCACAACTGGACTACTTGGATTTTCTCTATATAATCTTCCAGAGACCATTACACCAATAATAATGAGAATCTCATATTTGTGATGCCTTAGACAGCTAACAGCATGGTTTCAAATACATTATTTCTTTAGAATTTCACAGCACTGCTTTGTAACCATCAGGGCTGGTGGTGTTACCACCCCTGCTTTCATTCAAGGATGGGGAAACTGAGGCTTGTTGCCTGGATACGCCCTCTCAGGGAGCTGCAGAGTTATGATTCAAATTGAAACCTTCTGACACCTAGTTCATTGTTCTTTACTTTCTGGAACACGCAACAAATGCAGCCTTAATTTTGATCCTGCATGAGGAAAGTTCTTTTTTAGTAGCTCCTTGTGCTCCTCAGGCCTGGAGTTGCTGCTGACCTCCCACAAAACTGTAGTCAAAGGCCGAGGTGTGATCCGACCCCCACCCGCCGACGGAGGGTTCCGTCAGGGAGTACAAACCTCCCCAGGAGCACATTCTTATTTGCACAGAGAGGATCTTATCACAGGGTCATCTTTGTTCCAGCCCCTGCTTCCGTGTTCATTTGCATACAGAGAAAACTGTTTGAGATTTGCAAAGTCCCGTAGAGCATTTCCTTGTTGCATCACTGGCATTTGTTTTGACCTGTTGATATACCTGTTGTTTAAAACTTGAGTCCAGGAGTGGAACTGGCAATTAGTTTGAAAAAAATGTTGAGGGTATAAAAGGCCCCAGGCTGAGTGTTTTTAATAGGGGAAGACAATGTCACGATATCAGCTCCCTTGTTTACTGAGGAGGGAACAAAGTTGTTTCAAGACCAGAGAGAGAGATTGATGGATTTTCACTTGAAGTAGGGACCTTGAGTTATTATTACTCTTTTCTTCTCGCCCTGTCCTTAGCCCAGCCAATAGAAGGCAGTACACCCCTGTCTGCATGAAGGACTGAGGGCCCAAGGAACCTGCTTGCTCATCCCCTGCATTGCTGGGGTCCATCCCTATTCATGACTTAGGACTTTGAATAGCTTTGAATGTCCCTCTAATTTGAAATTAGATACACACCAATCCAAATGAAGCCATGGGGTGGGGTCTGTCCTCTGAACCAGCTCCAGGGGAGGCACAAACATTGTTCTATGTAGAAACAACGATCGGTAGCTGCATTTTTTTCCAAGGCTCCTACGTTCATTGGAAAAGAGAGTGTCAGCTGTTTTCAATCCCATGCCCCCTCTTTAGGGTTTTGGCACTTGGCACCTTATTTAGCCTGTGAAATGACCACAATGGTCTTGCAGATGTGATGCTGCCCAGAGGAGCTCGGTGGTGTGGGCCAAAGACACTAGCATTCAGGAAGCCAGGAAGACTTCGTTCTTCCAGCCCGCACTCACCCCCATCACGCTCAGAACTAACCCGTGAGGTTTCTGGAATGCCTACTCCTTAGCTGAGAACTCTGGAGGAGTGCTTCCCAGAGTATAATCTGTGGTGTAACAAAGGGTATTGCTTCATCTGTCAAAGCCTTGGCTTTCTCATCTGTGAAATGTGGACAATCAGAACAAATACGGTTACATGAGAATTCAATGAAATAACACCTGTGGAGAGGATCTGCCCAGGGCTGGGGTCCCAGAACTCTAAGTTTCCTGTGTCATCCATCCCCTCTTCTTTCTTCTCAATGACTCGACGATGCAGCCAATCCTAGAGTTCTTGTAGCATCTTTCCACCCTCTTTTCTGCCTGTTGGGGTTCTTTGCCTCAAAATCCCCTCCAAGCCCCACTTCCACTGGGATCGTTTTTGGAAATGTCTGTCTTGCCTTGTGAACGTCACAGGTTTCTTAGAGCAGAGTGTTCCTGGCTGAGCTTAAGTGGAGAATGGACACACGGGACCCCTAGGTGTCCTCAGGGGAGGTGCATGGGAGGAGACCCCAGAAGGGGAACCAGAGTAGAACCTTTTAGGTGCTAAGACACTGGAGGGGCACAGGGAAGAGAGGGCAGCCATGGAGGGGGACCCAGCCCGACTCCTTTGGAAGGAGGCAGGATCCTGCCCATTTCTGTGTGTCTGCGGGGAATCGGGATGGGTCGAGGTTCATGAAGGACGGAGGAATGCAGCTCTTATGCACAGCATTGGGAAAGCAGACTCGGGGACCCGGGAGCACAGGCCCTGGGCAGGGCAGCCTCTCCCCAGGGGTGACCTGGTGGATGCCCAGCGTGGCTCAGTGGAGGAGCAAGCCCAGAGCTGTTCATCACCGTGAAAGACATCCCCAGAGGGCTCTGAGAAATACCCAGGGAGGCTCTCGAGAGGACTTTACATAAACAAAAGGAAAGATGAGACAGCAGATTTTACAGCATTCATACTCACCAGCTGATTATGCTTCTAAATAATGCAAGCTGCCCCACTGCATACCATCGACTCACTGGGTGGCAGAGTACACGGAGGCTGCATAGGCTCCCGGTGCTTCCCGGTCAGTATGGGTTGGCTGATACAGCGCTTGGGGTCTGAACCTCCGGTGCCTTCTGGAGTTTGGACTGCTTGACATCACTTGAAATTCAAAGAAAAAAAGAGAGAGAAGAGAACAATTGATTGCTTACTATGATTTCATCCTTATCAACAGATCCTGTTCTGCAACTCTGTCCCCAGACCCAGCCTCATGGCCTTGCTCATTGTTTTCTCTCTTCCCCGTGATAGCTAATGACCATGGGGGGTTCCTGCAGGAACGGGTTGATCTGGAATTGTGCGGAGAAACACCCGATCACTTAATGGCGCCATTCAGTTGAGAGAGAGTTTTAACCTGTCTGTTTCTGACTAAACAACACGGACACTCAGGCTGTGATCAAGGAGCATTCGTTTTAGCCCTATTTGCACTTGGCTCTTGGTGAATTCACGTCTTTGGGAGTTATTGAAACCATTACTGTTAACATAAGAGATAAGGGACCTGAACTTGACAAAAATCCTTGAATATCTTTAGATTTCTTTTTTTTGGTAGGATGTTCAAGTGCCAAGGCCTTCTTTCTAGAGTTAAGTCAGTGAACTTGTACATGGCCCGTCTGCCTCCTGGAGGTCCCTGCTGGCCGAGAAGCCACTGCGAAGTCTGCCTGAGCCTGTGGCTGGTGGCTGGGAGAGCTCACGCTGTGGCCACAGAGAAGGGGCAGTGTTTACTCACTGGTGGCAGGATGCTTCCAGGCTGGATGGCTGCCTGGCAAGTGTCCCGAGAACTGGCTGTGCCCTTTCTGTATCCCAGGCACGGGGGAGGCTGCCCCTTCTTCTCTCTCCTGAGGTGATTTCAGGGTTTCCTGTAGCCAACAGCTTGTCTAACTCACTCTTCTCCAAACCTTTTAGATGCAAATGACGGGGAGGATGCCAGGGTCCCCAGGGCCCCAGCTCGCTGGTGGCCTGTGGTGTTGTCACCTTCTGTTGCCCAGGTGCATGGCCTGGATGTCATTCAATATCCCATGTTCCTGGCACACGGGGAACCTCGGTGTGGTCTGCTGGGCCGAGCTGGCTTCCTGCTGGTGAGAGTGCTATGTTGGCAAGACATTTCCACTCAAGAGGCAGCCAGTGCCCCCTGGCTGAGGCTTGAGGTTCCCTTTTGTTCCTAACTACAAACAATTGTCTTCGGACCAGCTAATTACACACAGTGCACTCTCTCATGCTCCGTAGCTCTGGCCAGAGAAACACCAGTGACCCGTTCCTTCCTGAAGCCCCTCTCACTCTGGGAGTCCCCGGGAGAAGCTCACAGGGGCCAAGTGATACATATTTGCCCAATGAATCGGAGAAATGCAACCGCTTCTGGATCACTTACCCCACTTATAAAAATGTTCCATGCGGGCTCTCAGTAAGCCTGGCTTACCCAGACGCTGCCCTGAAAGGGCGCTGCAAAGCCTGGAGACTTCCCTGTCTTTCTGGTCCTGGTGCAGCGGGTGACTGTTTGGAAGGCTGGGTGGAATAAAGCCACGTGGCAGAGTGCTGCGGGGTCAGGGAAGTTGGGAAGGTCGGCAGGTGACATTTCTTTTCAACCGTTACCATGTGCCAGGCTCTGAACAAGGCATATTACGGGTACTATTTCACTTTATATACACAGCAGCCTCCAAAGGAGGAGCTACTGCCCTGCTTTGGTGATCAGGAAATTGAGGGGAAGACACCTGCTTGAGATGACACAGGTAGTACGAGGCAGAGCCAAAGGTGGGAGCTATGTCAGAACCTCTGCTCTTCCCGCTGTCCCACAGCCGGTTGGCTTCTGGTCTCACCAGGACATCAGGATGAGCCAGGCTCCCTGGGAGCCCTCACTCTGGACTCTTCAGAGGAAGATTCCATCACAGCAAGCACGATACCTTGCATCTGTGTAACACTTGGACGTCTACAGAAGGACTTAACACCCACCGCTTCATTTGCTCCTCACGGCGATTTAGTGAGGCATTAGCTGCACATCACCAATGAGAAAGTGGGGTGTCAAGAGACAGAGAGAGTTTGTTCTAGAACAGCACTCAGGGCACCTGATTGTGTTTTCACTGGGTTTCAGAGACAACAAAGTGCTTTGATTAAGTATTGTGGAAAAAAAGTTCAATGCAAGTTTAATTTTAAATACGGAATACTAGGCTGAATGCTCCGTAAGTCAGAAACTCTGCAGTTCACCTTTGTCTCCCCATATCTCTCTGTGCGGGGCTTGTTGTAGTCGATCGATCCGTAGCTGAAGGCATCCGTGTCACTGGTTATTGTGACTCACCTGTCTCTGCAGTAATGGAACTCGCAGTCTTCGCTGCAGAGCCGTTCCTTAACCGAGTCTGAGTGCCGCCTTCACTTTCAGTGCCGCAGTCAGTAACGAGAGGAGCGGAGCCTTAAACACGTCTTAGGGGTAGAACTCTATTTTTCAAAGAAAACCTTAGGTAGAATCTCAACACAGTAAATAATTTTCAACAAATGGTATCAGGTTGGACAATTTATATCTTCAGCATTGGATGAAAGGCAACTCAGTGGGAGACTCCTGTGACCGCCAGTGCCCTCCTAGGCTTCCAAAGTGCACAGTCTGACGACCTCGAAGTGAAGTCCATTTTTCGATTATGTATGTTTAGATTAATGTAGATTATTTATTTCTAAATTATAAATTATCGATTTAAATAATTTATTTAGCCCTGGCTGGCGTAGCTCAGTGGATTGAGTGTGGGCTGCGAACCAAAACATTGCAGGTTCGATTCCCAGTCAGGGCACATGCCTGGGTTTCACGGCCCCCAGCAACCGCACATTGATGCTTCTCTCTCTTTCTCTTTCTCCCTCCCTTCCCTCTCTAAAAATAAATAAAATCTTTAAAAAATTAAAAAATAAAATAAATTATTTATTTATATTTAATTATTTTTAGAAATGATTAGATGACCAGAGTGCTGTTCACTTCTTCGCCTTGTGAAATGTTAGGCTGCTACGTGGGGAGAAGGCATCAGGAAAGACGAGGTGAGAGAGGAAGGGTGGGTGCCCTTTTCTGGAAGTCAGGGTCTCATACATTGTGGATGGAAAGGTTTGGGACTACTGAGTCCGAACTCAGTGCTGAGCAGTAGATATTGTGCATGTCAGACGAGATTTTTAGGTGCAAACAGCAGACTCCACCCTGGCGAGTGTAAGTGCTGAGAGCTTCATTAAAGGGTACGTGTAGCTCGCAGCATCGTTGAGAGGAGCACCTCCGAAAGCCGCCCAGCAGAACCCAGCTGCCGAGGGTGCTGTCGCCTCTGCAGGGTGAGATGGCACTGGGTCTGGAACTGCGTGCCTCCGACAGGGTCAGGGAGTCCCCGGACCAGGAAGCCACATCAGAAAGCCATCACCGTAGCGGCTGGCTCTGGGGAGATGCCTCCTCACCCTGATCCACATCAGGAGAATGAATGTCTTTCACTCAGCCTTTCTTCCTACCTCATTCAGTTCACAGCTGAAGGCTAAGACAAGCGCAGTTTAATGGTAGAGCCCAAATCATACCCAGAAGCTTCACTACTGGGGAGCCAGAGAAACCTACCCCCTACAGGAGGGCAGGAATGAGTGTTGAGCAAGTTAATCCCTAGTAACGCCACGATCTACCACGTCGGCAATCAACATTCACACACACCTTCCCCTTCACTTAAGTTTCCGAACAACAGCAACAACTGATGTCCCTACTTAACCTAAGATATTAAGTTGTATCATATGAGATGGCTGTTTTTTTTTACTTTTCAACCTAAAAATGGCAAATGTATATGGTTTCGTAATAACTGGCTCATGCATGGCCACACACACACACACACACACACACACATTTACCCACTCTTTAAAGTCTAATTGGTCAAAGCCCCCATCTCTGAGTAATGGTTTTTCCTCCTTTAGTTCATTTACAATCCAGTGTTATTGTCCTCTAAACTACGGGATAAATGAGAAAGACAGCCTTTGTAATCACAACGGCAAGAGAAACAGAAAAGGATAAACGAAATGAGAGAGGGAGAATGTAGTAAAGTAAGTATGGAGAGCTGTTACAGTCCTCCTTTCTGTAAATGGTCAAGCAAGGTCAAGGTTGGGTTTTATGGTTTCTCCCCTCTGCTACCACTTCCTTTGCCCTCAGCCCATGCCTCAGCCAGTCAGGGCTCTTAACTTAGTGGAGTGTCCTAAACAGTTACTCCTGAGGAGTCTAGCCCATGATGGTCTTGCCTGTAGAGGGTTGCTTTAGCCTTTATTCATTAATACCATAGATATGAATGTTTCAGGAGGTGGCCCAGAGGATCCCCTGCATTCCAGATATACTTCTACCCACCCCTATTGTGTAACATGCCTTTTCCACCTTGATCGCCAAGACCAATCACCCTGGCTACAAAATAACTCTTCCCCCACCCCTATTGTTTCGATGGCATAAAGAGCCCTAAGTAGCCACATGGCAGTCTCAGCTTCTAGTTCAATGGGACAATTATGCTGCCCCCCCAGTGAAGGATGAGTTCTAAAGCTGCGGAGCTTCAAGTCTCAGGAGCAGGAAGCAGATGGGTCATCGGATGAAGGAATGAGAGATATTTTGTGCTTAGTTCTATGGCTATGCGTTCTGGCTGTGGAAGAAACATCACTAATTATTTTTTGCTGATTTGGAGTATATACCACATCCCACAACCTTGCTAGTCACTGCTCCCAGTTCACACTTTACTGGCCATTCTCTCGTTCTATGAGGTTGTCTGTTTCTAGATGAAGAGCATATGGTAAGACCAGTGAATCATGTGAGTGTGATCACACGGCCCTACTTCTTTCCCCATGAAACAACTTTGAGAAAAGCAATACCTTGTGGGATGAATGAGTAAGTCCAGAGAAGACACGGAGCAAGGATACCGATGGCAGAAGCATGGCAGGCAAGGAAGACAAATCCACGTCTGGAACAAGAACGTGACCGTGAGCACAGATTCTGTTCAATAACCCGGCAAGCAGACCCTCCAAAATTGTTTCTCCACATCTAAACACAGAGTGTAGAGGTGACTGAGGACAGCTACAGAAACTCAAGACAGTTGTGCACATAGGTCCCGGACTGAGAGACACACTGTCTCAGCCGGGTCTCCAATGATGGACCAACAACTCCATTCTTGTCCTCAGCCAACCCTTTCTCCATTCATTTACACTTTTTCAAACATTTCCCACATTCTCAGCTCAGCCCTTTCACCTTTGTGCTCAGCAGATGAACTGTGCTCCTCTCTAAGGAAAGATGTTAGAGCTCTTGGGTTAGAACTCCCATCTATCATGTAGCCCTGGGCTATTTTTTCCTCTAGATTCAGAAAATAAGTTTAAGACTAAAAGCTCCCCTACGTTCTTCATTCTCATCTCTTCTAGAGTCTTGCTCTATTAATTCTCTGTGCTGCAATTCTCACCCTCTCCGTGTCCAGAGGCTCCCAGCACCCATATTGTTAATAAGCTCAGATTTAACCCATCTTAAAGCAATCATGACAATAAGGACTGTAAAAAACTGCGAGTGAGTCCCCCCTTAATCCCACAAGGTTCTCTAGCTACCTGACTCCTTTCCTCTAGTTAAAGCTTTTCAAAATAAGAGTCTGTACCAAAGTTGGCCTTCTTCCTTTCCTTTAACTCCTCAGCCTATATATAATCAGGTTTTTATTTCCTCTCTTCTCTGAAATTGCTTAGGTCACAAACTTTAGGCTCACAGCTTAGTGGTCAAACTCAATGGGCACTTGTATCCTTATCTCACTTGACATCTCCACTGTGTCTGTAATGTCGACTCCTCCCTTCTCCCTCTTCCTGTCACTTCCTGACTCCACAGCCCTCTGGTTCCCCCTTGTTGTTCTTCATCCGCGTGGCTTATCCTCTGGCAACCTGCACCTTAAATGTATTCTTCAAGGATTGCCACTCCCTGCCCTTTTCTCTTCTCCCTTTTGTAGTCCCTGAGCAATCTCCAGCCACTCCAGAGTTGTCGAGTGTTTTATTTCACTTGTTCCTACGTGGTGATGACTCTCAAGTCTATGCTTTCGGCACAGGCTTCATTCATGAATCCAAGATCCCCATATCCAACTGCCTGTACGTCATCTCCAGATTAATACCTCAGAGGCACCCCAAACTCAACAAGGCTCAGAATTAAATCATCTCCCTTAACTATGCCTCTTACCCCACTAAGGACCAGTGATGTTGTCAGGGATCATGGTTGCAGCTTAGAATGAGGTGGTGGAAAGTGTGGAGAGGAAAAACAAGTGTAAAGGCTTTGGTTTAAAAAGAAACAGTAGTCTAGAGGCTCCAGACCCCAGGCAGTCTGTAGGCTCAAGGACACAGGCTCGAGGACACAGACTCGAGCATACAATCTAGGGGACACAGTCTAGAGGGCACTGATTCAAAGACACACACTGAAGCGCACAGGCTAGAGGACACTGGGTCCAGGACATAATCTAGAGGACAAAATCTAATTACACAGTCAAGAACACACAGGCTCAAGGACACAGGCTTGGGGA